CTGACCGATTCACCCGATTCCCTATCCGGATCGCCGATTCGCCTATCCGGATCGGTTTTTTGGGTGCCCGATCCGGGTCACCGATCCGTTTTTTAAACCATTGGTTTAATGCATTCATGAAAATAAGGTTTTGACTTTTGAGGAATTAGGAATTATTCATGGCTTCATGGTCATGAAAACGTACTTCTGAAATAAGTTACCAAGATTCCCTATTTCATTGACTGGTTCCTTAAATCACTCTAGTGCGCATGAGCTGAGGACCTCAAATCGCTATCAATGCGATTACTTTACTATTGCACTTGATCTTGATCACTGCATCTGTCTTGCACCCTCTCAAGGTCAGAGTTAAGAGCCATATGCAATTGAAGTAGGCAGGGAGAATGAAGTAGGTTGGGAGAATCCTAACTTGTTTTCACTTTCTTCTCTAAGGCATAAGTTGGATGAAATATAGGCAATTGTCAGTGCAAGTATCTTGACTGGCATTCTTTATTTGTACCAGTTAATATCACACTTACTAACCGTGTTAATTGGAGAAAAGGAAGAGAGATCCATGATGAGCTGCTGAAATTTCATACATCTATTGAGTTTCAAATTAGGCGCCTACACATTATTTTCCTTGTAAAAATATTTTTCATGACTTAGAAATATTCCTCTAAATATAAAAAGACAAAACAACTACTTATGGCATGGGCATACACTTATTGATGAATAGTGACCTACCTTCAGATTAATGCTTCCCAAATACCATGTTGACATGTCATTTGACAAAAATGAAACTAGTTACATATACACAAACATGCACTGTCAGCATGACAAAGTTCCCTTATGCTACTATATAATTTTGTGTGTTTTTAGCAGTAAACCTGAGTGGATATTTTCCTGAAACAATAGCTAATTTCATTCTTAATTTGCACAACTGTTATCCAGACTGACTTTTTCTGTTGTTGAAGTTATGGCGAGTGTCTAGTGAGATATTTCAACTTAGAACCTTTGGAGGTCAGTTTCTAGCTTCTGATGGCGAAGGTGGCCCTGTCTCTGCGACAGATGAATCCGCAACTGGAAGAGGAACCTTCACTTTTGAAAGATACCAGAACAGAGTCCATATAAAGCTTTCAAATGGAAATTATTTGCAGGTTATAATCTATGCATTAACTTACCCAAAAAAATAAAATAAAATAAAATAGTCTATGCATTATCCTTATGGGACATTCCCACCCATTCAACTGTGTTAGCAAGTGACCTAATTGCTTGTTGGGTAACATGTTAGGCAAATTCAGCAGGGCAGCTCACAGCAGACTATCCGGGTAGACCAGGGTGGGATGACCATGCTGCAACATTTGAAATGACCATTGTTGCGAATGACTTGCATGGAGATTACCAGCTTGCAAATGGATATGGACCTGATAAATCTACATCTGTTCTCTCTGTAAAGGACATGCTTTTCATCCCTCACTTGTTCTTTTTAACTGATTAGGAGCACTGTTTGTTGCTATCATAGTGTGCAAACTCTGAAATCTAAATGCTTCTGCTTTCAAAACCGCAAACCGTCCATTTGAGGGTACTCGTTTGATACACATTTATTCTGGGTAATCTTATTTGCTTCCAAAGTTTCGTTTATCCTTTGTAGGGAAAAATATATTTTGCTAGTCAGGCAAATACTGCTCTTGAGTGTGCAATTTCAGCTCTAGCATTATAGAAATTATTTTTATGCATATTATCATTCCTGTGATGTGTCCCTTTTATGGCCTTCAGGGTCACAGAAACAGTTTTGTCACACAAGAAGATTTTAGGTTTTTGTCAAATCATGGCATAAACACTGTAAGAATACCTGTTGGATGGTGGATTGCGAGTGATCCAACTCCTCCACCTCCTTTTGTTGGTGGATCCCTGGCTTCGTTGGACAAGGCTTTTCTATGGGCACAGTACGTCTTGTTCCATCTATTGCCTCTGCTGAAATTGTTTTCCTGAAGAATTGCTAGAATATGGATTTAGTATGCAAGTAGAAAGCATGAAATTATCCCAAAAACCATGAAATAATCGTAGGGCTTGGGGTCATCCTCATCCATTGAAATAATGGATGGTAATATGGTGAGATATTGGAAGGCTCTACATGGCCATTTATTGTTCAGATGAGTTGTGCTTTCCTAGCACGATTATTTCAAGAGCAAATTATATACGGAGCATATTGGGAGGGGTCTATTACCATTTTGATCCAATATGCCTAATATTATGGCACCACCCCCCACCCCACGGTCTTTTTTATCTTCGCAAGTTCCCCACCTGTCCAACAATGAAAACACCGGACATGGGGCTATTCTTTCCATTCGTTCTCGCTATCCGGTTTTCGAAATACCAGACAGCTACCTCTCTTCTTTGCTAGAAAGATACCCAGCCTCCCCCCCTCGCCCCCTCTCTACTCCCTCTCTCTCTTTTTTTCTCTCTCTCTACCCGCCCTCTCTCTCTATCTTTATCTCTCTCTCTACCTGCCTGGTTCCAGGTTTCGACTTACTGATGGAGAACTCAGCCATCACCCACTATCTCTCTAGAACGAGAAGAAATTTATAAGCCCTGTCATGCATAAATTTGCGAGCATCTCCACACCCACAATAACCTAGCATCTCCATACCCACAATAACCTAGCTCCTTATAATTGCATATGTTAAGCTGGTGTCAAAACGAGCGGATGCCCTATAGTTCACTGGAGCCCTAAGTGGAGCATGAGATCCCCCTGCTTTGTCAAAGGTGATGATGTTCTCGCCAAAATCCAGCCCTGTAAATTTGTTGGAGTAGCAACAACATAACAAAGTGGAGTTGTCAACCCTAGGAATGGCTGTTGCCTTTGTGGTCACAATTGCAGAGATTCTAAAGAACAATAGACTGGCCATTGAGAAGAAGATCATGACTTCACCCGTTGATATGAAAGATGATTCTAGAGGGCGACCTATTCAGAAAGCAGAGATTGAAATTTTGCTCGGGAAAGGCTGCAAATTTCGACGAATTGATGGCTGCTGCAGCTGAGGAGGTAGAAATTGCAGAAGGAGAGAAGCAGAGCTGATTGCTTGAAGTCCTAAATTTGGTTTTGTTACTGATTAGTTTACCTCTTAAGTTCCTTTTTTTGGGTTTGCATCTTTTAATGTTTGCGGGACATGGTCAATAGATGTGCACTATGTGATCCTGGTTGTGGATGTCAAGAATGGGTTGTTATTCTTTGATTTTAGGAAGACAGCAGTCTTTGCTTCTTTTCTGTAAAACGATTGCAAGATCTAAGTGTTTTTACACACAGGGAAATAGTTCTAAAAAATAAGTAGAGAGAGAGAGGGTCGGTAGAGAGAGGCCGGGTATTTTGTTAGTAAGGAAAAGAGGTAGCTGTATGGTATTTAGAACATCGGACAACAAAGAACTAGGAATAGAAAGAATAGCCCCGGACAGGGGGGAAACTTGGGAAAAAAAAAAGACCTCGGGGTGGGGGGTCATGCTTGTAATATTTGGCATATTGGATACGAAATGGTAATAGACCTCTCCCAATATGGTTTGTACGTAATTTTCTCTTATTTCAATGAGGGTGATAGCCTTGAGGACTTCGGTATTTATTATGGACTGATGTTCCGTATGCTAATTCTTTGTTTTTTGGTGTATGAGTTTGATGTGAAGTATCTTGGATGCAGGACTTATGGGATAAAGTGTATTGTTGATCTTCATGCTGCTCCAGGTAGCCAAAATGGCATGGAACACAGTGCCAGTAGGGATGGCTCAGCAGATTGGGCTAAATCTCCCAAATATATTTTTGACAGCCTAAATGTCATTGAATTTTTGGCTTCCAGGTTTTTGTTCTATAGATTTTACTTGTTGTTTATTAGTAAGTCAAATTCATTATGATTTGTCTAATTGGCACTTTGTTTTTTGGACCAAATTCTTGATACTTTAATCATGAGTATATCAATGATTTGGAAAATGCAACTGACAGCCCACCACTTTGTTTCATTCATCGCTGCACTTCAGACGAAATATGAGTGCTGATTTTCTTATTGTTATTCAATTGTACACTAGAGATCACCATGACCTGAAACCTTCACTTAAGAGGTTGCCATCTTCCATTAGTCAATATACATGTTTTTCTGAACAGTATTCATAGACAACTTAGCCAAGAGAAATCCTTAAACAGTTTGATCTTACTTTGTTGGAGGTGAGGAACTAGATCTCAAAACTTTAAAATTAAGACTCTAATTGGTTACCAAGAAGTATAAGATATTTAAAAATGACTAGAGAAAGCCAGAAAAGCAAATTTTTTTTTGAAACTTGAAAGCCAGAAAAACAATTAAAATGAACAAGGTATGATTATAGAAAGACAGAGACTTGCATGTATAATTAAATAACTATGTATAGGTTCTTCAAACCTTAGCAACCATGCCCAAAAAATCGGCAGAGTGAACCGATAAGTTAATGATTTGCGAGGAGGAAGTTATGGATTATTGCCTTCCTAAAAGTATCCATTCATTAAAATTATTTAGCAAAATATGCAGGTAATATGGAATATTGCTGAACGGATGTTTGATGATTGAAATTGCTTTAAGTTAAATGGGACAGGTTTTGAAATAATATAAGTGTCACTTGTTTTACTATATTGTAGAGGCATCAAATAAGATAGCCAGTGCCATGATTAAGCATCACAAAGCCACTGATACCTTCGAAGACTTTAGATACCTAAGTTGCGTCCTAGACTTCATTATCAGGGGCTGCTTCTTTCTCTTTTAGTAAATAAGTGAGGAACACTGTTTGGGTCTATTTTGTGACAGGTTCCACTAGCAATGAAATGACCATGAGATCCTAACTCAGAAGACTTTAGTAATGACTTCCAAATGAGCTAGAACCTGAGAACATCATTGGAAAGATGAAATATGGCCATTCTCCAGAATCAGAGAGATTGGAGTTAGCATCAAGGGGTTTGTAAAGTTCATCGCGAGCTACAGTAGCTGTGAATAGTGTCTCATGGTGAACTGTCCAAATAGAATTAAATGATGTCCAAATGACTTCAAATTTTGAGGAATGCTTAGTGAGGGTACTTCTAACCCTTGTACCAAAAATCAGTTTCGAGAAGGATAAGATAGTAAAATCAAGTTCACCTTGGACATTAGAGACCGTGAATTGTCTCTCGTGGTGAACTATCCAAATTAAACTAAATGGGATCTGAATGAACCCAATTTTGGTGAAATTATAATTAGAAGTGTTCTCAAGCTTTTTATCAAAAAAAATATAGTTTGGACGTGATTTGAGAGGTGAAGCAAAATCCACTGGGAGCTTAGTGTACGGGCATAGAGTTCTTGTGGTGAACTTGACATTCTGGTTCAAAAATGATAAAGAAATGGGTTCAAGTTTGGTAGAGAGCATGGAATCAGGTTGGAAAGCATATGTAGAGACATGTAGGATGGCACATTGGGAAAATCTCAGGAGATTGTCATGGAGTTTTGCTGGTTTAAGAGGATTCACCACAAGCAATGGGTAATGTAAAAGTTGGGCTCGCGGCAAACCATAGAAATGGGATAAGATGGAAATATTAGGTTGTGCCACTTTTCAGAAATTCCTGTTTAGATATAATAAAGACAGAGAACAAGTTTTATGCAAGTTGGCTGAGAGATAATGAGATTTTTTAAATTCACTGCATGACATCATGTCTTATTTCATGATTTGCAGTGAACCTGTGGATTTGTTGTTTTGATTTTCAAAATTGTCGAAGGTGGGTTCTAGAGAGCTGTGGAGGTATCTATGTGAAGAATTTAAAAAGGTTGATGGAATTTAGTGAAGATAGGAAACTATCCTATTTTTAAGTCTTGAACTTGACATTGTGAGGAAAATTGCAAAGATGATGGTGATCGGATTCTAGGGATCACGGGAAAGTGATAGGAAGCAATTTTTGGATGAAAGGTCCATCTTTTGGAAAGGGTAATCCAAGATTGAAATAGAAAATCAGCAAGTCTTTATGAACTTGATGACTTTTTGGACGGGCGATTGAATCTTCAAAAGAGCCTTGGATTATATATCAAGATTTTGGGAGCAGTCACAATTGTTGAGTGTGGATTTTGTTTATCAATTGGGTATAACGAAATCCCTAGATAGAAGGGATTAGAACAACGATGATGACAATTCTAAGGCTATATTCACTCTTCATGGCAAACTTATCGTTTTGATGTTTTGAAAGTTCGTGCGCAATAAGGCATGTAATCCTCAAGAATCGATGAATCTAATGTTCTGGAAGGATCGATGAATCCAGAAACAAGAAATTTGAGGAGTGAGACTTTCCAAGAATTTAAGATTTCTTCCTTGCCCATCAGGCTTCACCCTTTATACAAAGGGGTGTGTCAAATACAATAGGTTCTTTTGGAATGTTAGAGAGAACAGTCTAGCACAATCTTAAGTCCTATTTAATGGTTCAAGGCCGAGGCTATGATAAAGCTTTTGAAGCAGACATCTTCATATTTCCATAGGGATAGAGAGAATCAAATAAAAAATTTACATCATAACACAAGACATACAAGAGAGAGAAACTTGCTGTTTGATCCCCTCGCTTCATATGCAAGGTATCGGAATCTATATTGATTCCATAGTCTGATGTTTACAATTTCTGATGTTTACAATTTTCTTTCTTTTTGAATTTCTTGAGTCTTTGGAATTATGGATGTAAGGTGTTTCTTTCTTTGTATGAAGATTGAATGTAAATAAAACAAGTTGCTTACGAGTGCTGTTCCAAACCCATACTTTAATGAAAATGTTTTCTGTACTTTCTGGTTTGTTCTATTGGAGTCATATCTTTCTTCCAAGATCTCTCTAGTACATTTTTAGGCGAAACAGACACAAGCATAAAAACCATAAATTGATTTCCTCTCTCTGGATTAGCCTAACGGGCATCCAAGTAGGCAACAAAATGAAATAGTTAAATGCAGTATCTATTCTAGCCTAAATCTAAATAGCAGATAATTCAATACGCTGAATGAATGTGTCTATAGAGAAACACGTTGAAACTTCTCAAGCTTATTTTGAGGAACATGTTCATGACCACTTAATATGCACTACGCACAATATACAGTTGAGATTGATTTCTGTAAGATGGAAGTGGAGGGTACACTATAATACATTGTGACATGCCTGCTTGATACTAGTTCCTCATCCATGGAATGCTGCAATGTAGTGAGATGTGGATACCTGGTAGGAGACAATATGTTTTCCATAAGAATTCCATGAAACTTTGCTTTTCTTGATCTTGCTGAACACATTGAGTCCAATTGCAAGTTTGCGACTTTTTCAAAGAGATGTTATGTTATTCAGCTTGAAAATTTCCTCTTTGAAAGAGTTATGAGAGTTCACTACTTTTTTATTTTTCCTCTTGCAAATTATTTCTATTGATCTTGTACAGGAGTTTTGAGGGGTTTGAATATGTTTTCTTGTACAGGAGTTTCAAGCTGGATCATGGTTGTTGGAAACGCTTGAGATTCTGAATCGTTTTAGGAATCGAAATGGCGGAATCGTTGTTGGCTAGAATATTCTTGTTTTCGAAATTGACGTCCATACAAGGTGAATTACAGGAAATGAGATTCCTACTTTATAGGAATCGAGATTCAACCCAAATAGAATTGAGATCCCACATATATGGAATCGAGATCTTGACCTCTTTGAATTGAGTTTATTTAGAATCAACCCATATGGAGTCAAGATCCCTTCATATATGGAACCGAGATTTCGACATCTTTGGAATTGAGTTTCTAATGTATTTGGAATCAAGGTTACCAATTTTAGATCGAGATTCATAGAAATTTGGAATCGGGTTTCGACCCAACTGGCAATGGAGATTCGTAACTCTATGAGGTCGAGTTTCATCCCCTTTAGAATCAAGATTTCTACATTAACGACATCTCGTGCCTTGACAACATGGAACCTCATCAAGCAATCGAGATCAGAGGTCTCTAAGACCTGAAGAAGGGTTCCTTTGATTTGAAGTTAATGACTATTGAGCCTTAGGCACAATATCATAAGTAAGGTCAATTAATAGACACTCGTAGTCCATTGAGGGAAATTGTCTACAAACGATACAAATACTATCTCGGATTTTTAAAATGTGATTTCATTTCATTATTATAGTTCAAAATGGGATTTTGTCTGTGCCATGTTGTTGTCTGTGTTCTAATATGTGCTCCCATGTTACACTTGCCTTTGTTGCCTGCAAAAGGCATTGGAATGATAGTTGTTAAGAACTTAACTTTAGACATTTACATTTGAAAGTTGATTCATTGAAACAATACTTCGACAATGCGGTTGGATTGTTATTCGGAGCACGTATGAACTATGGGAAACAATCGCCTCTAGACTGGTTTTCTAATAAGTTAAATTGAAATCCATAAATATTTGAACCAATCCATAAGTCATAGATTTGTGCTCGTAGAACATTAGTATTTTATTTTGTGGTATTATTACTCCATAAGCATTAGAGCGAGATTCTTTGACGGTAGAAGCAATATTCGATGTTTGATTAGTTTGTGGTTTCTTGCATCTACAAACTGCTGTACTTAATGTCCAAGAATCTGGATTCAAAATCAATCAAATCAAGTATCATTATATATGGAATCCAGATTCAAGAAATGTAAAATTGAGACTCAACAGTTAAAGAATTGAGAATCAATAAATATTAGAAACGAGATTCTATAAGTGTTGGAATCGAGATTCCTAAAATAAGAAAGCGAGATTCTTGACTTCACAGAAATGGATTCTGTGAAGATTCCTTGTCGGAATCGTGGAATCAGGGAATTGGGATTCCGAATCGGAATCGCAACCTTGAGTGAGAGATTCTGGTAACTATGAGCTGGATATATTTGCCTTCTGTACTGTTGGGATAATTCTAGAACTTGCTTTCTTACTAGGAAAGCACCTTTTGCTTTACAGCGGCATCTTAGTGACTTAGACCAAGCAGTGTATTGAATTTTTACTCTAATATAGTAGTACATACACATTTTGCTTGAGCACGTTCTGGCAAATATGTGGACCTGAAATATATTTGCCTTTAGTTGTTTTGTATAATTTTTGTTTTGGCTTAATTTAGATGGTTTGTATTTATCTATGTTTAAATGAACAATATGTAAAAGTATTGATTTCCCACGCAAAAAGTAGTTTGATATATGCTGCGTTCCTCTTGTAGGTATGCAAAACATCCCTCTCTACTAGGGATTGAGCTCATTAACGAACCTTCTGCATCTGAGGTTCCTATTGATGTCTTGATTTCGTATTACTCAAAAGGATATGAGATTGTGCGCAATTATTCGTCTACAGCTTATGTGATTCTATGCCAGAGAATTGGAAACGTTGACCCACTTGAACTTTATCATGCAAACATTGGCTTTTCAAATGTTGTGCTAGATTTACACTATTATAATCTTTTTGATAATTTTTTTAGCAACATGACTGCTGAAGCCAATATTGAGTTCATTTATGAAAGCAGACTAGCCCAAGTGCAAGCATTGAATAGTGCAAATGGTCCTCTTGTCTTTGTTGGTAAACTTCTCTACCTTTATTAGTGGCTGTGATCAGTTATGTTGGTCCCTTCTTGTTATGACTATAAAAATGAAGTTGGGATTCATACGTGGATCAGGAGAGTGGGTGAATGAGTGGAATGTACAAAGTGCTTCAAAGTTTGATTATCAAGACTTTGGAGATGCTCAGTTGCAAGTTTATGATCAAGCATCCTTTGGTTGGTGCTACTGGACTCTGAAGAATGCAAGGAAGCACTGGGACTTTGAGTGGAACATCCTGAATAATTACCTTCAACTTGGTATCCTCCCCTATGCAGCATGTTCATATTAATAGTCTTAATTCTTAATGAGCTACACATTTGCAGGATTCTAGCAGATGGTTAGAGTATGCATACTAATAGTTCAATTTTTGGTATGATGGTATGTTTTCGTCATGTATTATTCTTGTCATATGTGCAGATGGGGCTTTCCTTTATTTCACCTGCTTCATTCAGATGCATAGAAATAACTATGACATCTCAGTGGAGAAATGTCATCTTTGATTTCTGTAATTAGGAAACTACTTATCAGTTTTCATAAAGGGCAAACTTTCTATGCTTCCCCTACTGCATAAAACTTATATGTTTTCCCCCATCCAACCATCCAGTTTGAATGGACGGCTGAGATTGGCCCCAATCACATTGTCACGTCTTTACGCTATTTTATTTTTAAATTTTTTTTGCAAACTATTTTGACACCAAATTTTGGGCGTCCACTCCTCTCTTAAAGTCACACCTGTAAAAAAATGAAAACATGTTCTCAATAAACTAGAATGACCAAAATACCCCTGAAAGTTTTAAGGTCATTATATTTTATCAAAAAATTGTTTTAAAATTTTTATTTAGGTGCACCCCATTGAGATGATGGCACGTACGAAATTTCATATTCATATAATTTGTAGAAAAAAATAAAAATAAAATACTCTGAAGTGTCGGATCTAGATCAAACGGTCAATGACTCACTTAATCTAAATTGGACGGTTGGATTGGGGAAAAGCATATATCTTCTATGCAGTAGGGGAAGTATAGAGACCTTTCCCTTTCTTAAATGCCCATGGATCTCCAAGGAATTGTAGAATAACCCCCAAGAGACAAAATGAAACTTGTACTCTTTAAACAATAAATACTGCAAGCACTTGGTAATATCAAGGAACAATTAGTATTTTTCTTCACAATTAGTATTTTTCTTCACCATGCAAGTGTTCCTGGTTTCCTCTTATCCAGTTCTTTGCAACATCTCCTAAAAGGAAAAACTCTTTCAGGATAGCTTTCTTGTCATGTTTGGAAATATTGATCGTGAAAAATGCTAATTTCATTGGGTCTTTAGGAATTCATCTGTTATTGATAATTTTGTAAATGTTCACTTGTTAAAAAGTTTATTTAGCTTAACTTTTTGTCTCCGATGCACGGTTACCAATCTTCTGCTTGTAAGTAACAAGGTATTGCTGCAAATACCTGCACTCGGGTCCCATTGGACGGGCCAGATCACGCATAAGTCTCACTCTTGCATAAGCAACCAGCTTAATAATTTATCATAGATTTGCCCCTGCTAATTGATGTCATTATTAATTATTTTAGAGCGCATAAGTGGGTTATAATCTTGTTCTAAATCTTTGTTCTTTTCACAGGTGCCTCATCAACAAAGCTAAATATGGGCAGCACTTATTTTCTTATTTTGAGTTTGTGGGCATGTCTCTATTTGCATCATGTGACACAACAGTAACAAGAGAAACGTTACAATTGGTTGCCATTGAAACAGGCGACATTTGATCATAAGATGATCAACTTCATTCAAATTCAGCTGAATAAGATCATCAAATGCAATACAGAGCAAGAGATTCTGGTAAAAGTCGCAAGGCTCTGTTTATCCCTTTTTGTATCCATATTGCTCTCATAGTTCCGTATTTCTCAAGACCCCCTGTGTATTCCTTTTGTATCCACAGCAGAATCCTTATCAAATATCTTTTTCTCCATATAATTGTCAAGATTTAAATCATTGTTTTCAAAGGAAAGTTGGTTGCTAGCAATCTGTCTACAAAACCCGGGTACGAAGCATAACATACTCATTTATGTATACTGGTTCGAGTTTCAGGTATTGGGATAAACATAGAAATGCATGTATGGTTACAATTAGTTGTACTCTCAATGAGGGTACTACAATACACACATATAAGGTGTACGTAGACCAGTATCTTTACTGCAATACGCACATGAGGTGTACGTTGAGCATATGAGTTACTGGTCAAGGTACCTGTTGTGTGTATTGTAGTACAGATACTTGTCATTCACCATCTGACCTCATTTATGAACACTAGAGAAGAGCAGCATTATTTGGCTTTTGTACCTGCGGTGAAATAGAGTCTATCTCCACTATCCAACGACGAGGACATGCATTCTCTGCGTGTAGTATACCATACGAGCAATGCATATAGTGTATACCTTCCCCAAATTTTGCCTAAACAAAACCCGAATTTTCTTCATAGAATAATGGTTCAGAAGAGAATGATTATTAGGTTTATTATAGACCCCTGGGTTGAATTATTTAATGTCAATGAACGGATTCTGTAAACAGCCCAATACTAAATGAAGAATAGGAACTTTGCAGATGAAACTGTTGTCAGGCAGCAGTTTAAAAATGCTGAAAAATTTATGTGCCACCCACATATAAAAATATTTGTGGCTCTTATTTTTCTGAATCGAATGGATGTCAGGGTCTCACGCATAATGGTGCAATTTAGTTTTTGAGCATTTGCCCTTGATTGGACGTTTAGAGTTATTTCTTTTATAAATCAGTTTGCAGTAAAATTTTGGGGTTCCATATATATACATACATATATTTATATATAACTCATACTTGATATTTTTGGACACTTGATATCTTTATCCCATTATTCAGTAACTTTTTTGTCCCATTATTTTGATATTTTTGGACACTTGATATCTTTATCCCATTATTCAGTAACTTTTTTGTGTAGGGGTATTTGAAGCACTTAATTAGGGGTAAAGGACATACATATATTTATATATAACTCATACTTAATAATTTTGGACACTTGATATCTTTATCCCATTATTCAGTAACTTTTTTGTCCCATTATTCTGATATTTTTGTACACTTGATATCTTTATCCCATTATTCAGTAACTTTTTTGTCCCATTATTAAGTAACTTTTATGTAGGGGCATTTGAAGCACTTAATTAGGGGTAAAGGACATACATATATTTATATATAACTCATACGTGATATTTTTGGACACTTGATATCTTTATCCCATTATTCAGTAACTTTTTTGTGTAGGGGCATTTGAAGCGCTTAATTAGGGGTAAAGGGTAAAGTAAAAATTCTTGATAAAGAAAAAAATATTTATTAGCATAATAGAAGATGATATCATCCTTATGGGGTGTGACATCATCCACATGAAACAATAATTTTTTTTTAATTATTAGTAAAATGTCAGTAGTTTTTTTTATAAAAATATCTATCATACCCTTAACAACGAAATATACATTTACTAGAGGTAGAAATATCTATCTACCTTTTATGAGCATATTAAGGTTGTACTCATATGTATGATTAACATAACTCTATTGTGTGTGTATATGGGAAACGTTTATTAAGTGCGTCTTGATGAGAAGAACACACACCTAAAGTTTTAAGTGATTTAAATTCGTAGAAAAAAAAATGCAATTCAAGCACTATCGGACATTCGTGATCGTCAGATTGACCCATATTCAGTCTGGGCCGTTGGCCTCATATGAGCTAGTGTGTTAATT